GAAAGAATGTAAAACATCAAACCCAACATCGTTTTTAATTCAAATATTAGTAAAACATACAATGTATGAGACTTATTTGTACCATTCTCTATAATCAATGAGAAGCATTTTCTTCACAAAACAGCTAAATGCACAATATTCTTACCATTTTTAATGTGTAACTAACTATAGTGTTTGCATTCTGAAGACAGTGATGAATACAACATGTTTTCACCAGATAAATTTCTCTCCTTCCACAAAATGTCTTCTGTCCTATGGCGAAGTGGCTTTATTGGTTGTATGTCAACCTTGTTTTGGTTTTCCTGAGATAGAGAGATATATGAGCTGCTTAATGGTGTTCAAAGTTGGATTTCGCTTTCTGCTTTGGCTCCGTTTGTTTTTCCCTGATATTTTGCTGCTCTAGTGTGACAGCCACTAATGTTCTAAGGTGTTGAACAAATAAGATGAGCTCTAAGGGAAAGAGCTTTAAACTGTAGGAATGGTTATTATTATTTTTTTTATTTAGTTTTTGTTTCTTTGTTCCTTTGTTAGTCCATGTTGTTAGATGCACTCACGGTAATTTTGCAATAATCTACTAAAAGCCTTTGAAATTTTGAGGGCCATTTATTCATTTTATTTCCTACATCAGACTACATCTAGATAGTTTTCAAAACGTTCTCAGGCTGGAAAACCAGAGAGTAATTTAGTTAAGACTAAATTTCCTCATAATAAATAATGTAAATGTAGCAAAAGTAATTTTTAGCTGATTGTCTTGTTAAAATCAGGTCAGTCAATTCTGCTATAAGGAAATGTCAAATAATGGGAAAAGTTTTTTTTATGTTGTTCATTAATGTCAATTCTGTTAGGTTCCGTGTTTCTGTGTGTTTATTTTTGAGTTTCTCTGTGTTCAGTCCTGTGTTCCTGTGAGTCTCTGTCCTGTCCTCCCCGTTGATTGCTCCCCAGGTGTGTCTACTTACCTGATTACCCTCCCTGTGTATTTAAACCCACCTGTGTCTGTGTTCTTCGTCGGGTCCTTGTCTAAGTTTGTCTACTGCCGTCGTGTTGTAGTTTGTCACTCGCCAGTTGAACTGTAAAGTCCTGGTTTGTGCTTGCTCCCGTCGAGTCTGATGAATCAGTTGCTACCGGTACTTAGCTGTGTGCTAGTCTCTGCCGTGCTGCCTGTATGGACTGTGGAGCTTTATTTTCACCATTAAATTCATCATCATCACCATAACCTGGGTCTCAGCGTTCTCTCCTCACAATCAACAACCCCCCACTTCATGACAAATTCTAGACTTATTGACTTATTTTTATTATAGTTTTATTTACTTAGTGTAATATATTCTAATTCATCCATTTGCTTGCATGTTCTTTTTAGTTATCTTTATGAATCTGTTACTGTAGTAAAGGAACCTTTAATTAACATATATTTGGGTGAGCTTTTGTAAAAGAATTTCACCCAAATGGTTTATCCTGGTTTCTTTTCTTTCATCACAGAATCACTGAAAGGAATTTTAACACCACTATTTACACCTTTTCACCACTATTTACACTATTATGAACGTTTATTTCTGCATTGACTTTTAGGGTTTTTTAAACCAGCCAATTAACACCTTAGTAGCTATTTCTTAGCTTCTGTTAAAATAATTCCTCGAACTTTATTTTGTAAAACAAATATCTCCAGGCATTTGATTTAGATCTATGCTGCCAAGTCAGGAAATATTTGTAAAGTAGTCAGTTTGCTGTGTGTCTCAAATGAGACTAAATTCACTACAATTTAGGGCTGGGACTGATTTGAGTATGTCAATTATTAAAATTCCTCGAGGAAAATTCAGGAAAAGCCTTGAAACTTTGTTAAGTTATGTTTTATTATTTAATGCACTGTGTTCCGGCAGGGTCATTATTTGCGTCGCGCAGTGCTCTCACTTCCGTCTGAGTTGTTGACTAAAGTTGTTTCTTTACTATTAAATTGAATATAATTTCAGATTTTTGTATTACTTTTCTTCAGGTTAAGATAGAGAATGAGCTATTGTTGTTTTCTAAACTACGGAAAAGTTATTGTTAGGGATGCTCAAATGTGAAAAATTGGACTGATGTTGATATCCGATAGAAATACTGCTAAGTTAGATTCACTAACGTTTTATTTTATCTTTTTTTTATCTGATTACTCGATTAATCATAAGAATAATCGATTACGCGATTACAAAAATATTTGTTTACAACAGCGTTAATCTGAATATCCTCATGACAGCTTGTAATTATGAAAAACTGTCATTATAGTCTTTGCTTCAGAAGGTCGCAAAGAACCACAGCTGTTGGGTAATTCTCTAATCTGTTAGTCAGTCCAATCTGTTTTAGTATTGTGTAATGTTAATTTTGGTGTCTGCTTGAAGTTAAAGATGAGGATGCATTTTATTTTTCAACATTGCATTGAGACCAAACTTGCAATCCTATTTGAAGATTTGCATTGGGTTAGAATCCACAACTAAATGTATTAATTTTAATAAGTGGTGACTCTTGAAGAGGGTTGTGATTAAGAGATATGCTCACAATCTGATTGATTTGTACTTTTGGAAGATATAGTAGACAAAAATGCCTGGTCAACTACATAAATTAAATCCCATTTTATATAAGAGGAAAGATTTGAAATGGTTTATTGTTTTTTTGTTTTCTTTCATCACATAATCACTGAAAATAATTTTAACACCACTATTTAAACCTTTAAAACCCTGTTTTTAAAGTGTTTTCCTAGCCTTTTCATGAATTATCAGCTAAAATAGAGTTGTTCACATTTTTTTTATGATTGGCCTGCTTTAGTTAATTATAAATAGCATGACAAATTAATTCGGTGACACCCGTCGAAGCATTACATTCAACAGGAATAATTTTGTGTAAAATAGAAGACCGTGCCGATGTTTCTTAAAACGTATGATTACCTCTTACCTTGAAGTGTTGGTGGTGTATGTAAACATTTAAAATACACCACCACCAATTCCATATACTTTATGAAGAAAAGTTTATATGATAACTTTCCTTTGTGCAGTTAGGATGCAGAAGTCTGTCATTGAATGAGCTTTCCATTTCAGAAGCAGCTTCATATATGAGGGGTGGGACATTGTCCAACAGTGATGTTGCCAGATTTTTCTGTCTTCTACCATTTTCACTGGGCCCACACTCCGAAAGACCTTAGTCTCTCTCCTCAGCAGTTAGTTTTCCTGTAGTATCAGTGTTGTGAATCCAGTCTAGCTTAGTGTTCAAGTGAACATCCAGGTTAGAGTCCACTGTCTCTCTGTTCACTTCCTGGATTGTTGTTGCCATTGGTGACGTGGGTCTAATCTTATGGAAATCCACCACCAGCTCAGGATACACAAGTTGGTTATCCCTAGTTATACAGTCTAAACGGCAATTATACCAAATACTAAAGAGATGCATACAAGCTTGTGGATCTGAAGGCAGCCAATAAATACATTGTTTAGAAAAATCTCTTACACATTATTATTTTCTTAACATCTATATATAAAAATAACTCTAAATCTAACCAACCTACATCAGAAAGGTTTTGTCTGCTTTGATATCCAACACAGAAACAAAAGGTTGTGTATTTATACAGCATATGTAAATATCTGATTTTAACTGTGTGTATGAAATATACAAAAAGTGTCACCATGTCCCCTTCCTGCAATTATGGGTGCGTAACAGTTCCTGTTCTCTACAAAGTGAATGTTAGATGAGATGTAATAATCTATTTTGCATTAGGGGATTAGTGTCACCAACTTTTATCAAGCTCCTACAGAGTTCAGTTACAAACCTTATTAATAGTGTAGCAAGTTAATCAGAGGACCATGAAAACCAATTCCATGATATCACAAATTTCCATTATGTCTTTTTCCATTGTCACAACATTTAGATGTTGAATGTATGTTTACTAAGCTTTACAGATTGCAAAAGCTGCTTATTTCATTCTCTGATTTTTTCTGTGCTTTTTTGTCTTATTAGGTTCTCACTTCACTGATACATTTATATATTTGATGCTAAATAGTAAAAAGAACTGTTAATGAAATTAAGGATTGTAATGAAAACTTCTGTAAAGAATTGCTCGTATTATTATAAAAAAATAAATGCTTTAAGGGGAACATATGTTGTTTTAGAAATTTTATCTATTTGCATGCCCAGCAACAGCGAAAAGTAGCCACCCACATTGAAAGCCTTTATATCTGCCCACATAACTACAGCAGTGTTTCTTATAGTACAATGCATTGCCAAAAGTCTTCTGTCTTCTGCTGCACAGTGCTACATAGAGCATTGTGTTTGCAATGTTAAGAGTGCATCAATTAAAGTCTGTTGCCCTGCATTAAATACATATGTCTAATTAACGCTTGTAGTAATTTAGGCTCCAAGGCCAACAAAATTGTCGGTGCAACCAATTGAAGGATATACACTGTAAAACTGACTGTGATCATTGTGCAATTTATTTTTATAAATCTGTGGGATAAAATGATGCAAAGTAGGTGAACTGTGATCCTGAGTTTAATGAACACTAAATATTCATTAATCCATCCTCAGATTTGATGCTGAATATGAAAGCAGCCAAAACTACTGTCAAAACAGGTGGATTTATGTGGAATGTACTAACCAACATGACATATTTTCTGAGCAATTTTAGTTGTTAATAACATAGTAGTGTGTTAGTAATACACTACAGGCTCCTAAAACAGGCTGATCTAAAGCTACCTACCTAAATTACTGTTTTCAGTTTATTTCACAGTATGCAACCACACATCACACTCTTCCAGTGAGAGTAAGTGTGTACCTGCTGCCTTGCTGTGGGTGGGAATACGGTAAACACAAAGCAACTTTAACTCATAATGTCAAACTAGAATCCAAGTATTTTGTACAAGCAAGAAAGCTGAACCAGGGATCTTTTATTTTCTGCTGGCTACTTGAGCTAAAACCTAATCACACTGATCACCATTCATTATATCTGGTGATTTAATCCAATTCCATTTCCTGTTTTGTTTCAGGGGTGGAAGGCATGGAGTGCTCCCTTCCCATGGATGGCAGACGTGTTTCTCTGACACAGCTTTCAAAGGACAGCTTTCGTGAGTGCCAGGCCACCCTAACTCTAACAGACCTGCTCATCATCATTTTTTCTGGCATCTCTGTGTCTGTGGTGGCCATCATGACCAGCTTCTTTTTGGCTTCAACTGTTCATTGCTTCCAGCGCTGGAGTAAAGGCACCAAGGGAGATGAAGAAGAGAGTGAGGAGTAAAAACGATTTCCTTGCAGGGACGTTTTTCCTGGTTCTCCAAACCAGTTGAGGACACTCAAGAAAGTGTGTGGTCAGTGCTGTTTCCTACTTGGCAAAGCTCCAGAACCCTTGGATCATGGATTGGTACAGTTACAGTCAAAAGATGGATATACATATTATCTAACAAATTACATCTCAACGGAATGAGGTTTGTAAGTATACCACTCCATGTGTTCAAAAATTATATGAGGATCATATTTTTGTCTGTGAAAAGTCAAAGTTTTTGGCTCAGTGTCAAATATTCTGAAGAAAAATAACGAGGCCAAGACTATGACTTGTATCGAAAGAGAAATAGATTTCACTGGACTACTAACACATAGGAAATATTTTTCTTGTAGTGCTGTCATTTTTGTCTTAGAAAAACCAAAAAACTAAATCTAATGCTGAACATTCAGCTTTGGAATCTGAAATTCTGTAAAGAAAGCTCAAGGCTTTTGTGAATTTTAAAATCATATTCACTGGAACTTAATCTATGTAAAGCAGGACACTTCACTGACCTAAAATCCCTTATAAAAGGATGTCATAATGACAAGTGACCTCAATATTTAACTGCTTGTAATGTGATATGCTGGCATATCGTATCATTTAACAGTGTCCTGTCTGGATTGCCTCATTTGCTTATATTTAAAGGTTGCTCTCAAGATATGAAGAAGGTTAATAGTGTTGTTCCTTCTGAATTAATCATAGGCGGAAAGCTTAACAAGAAGGGTTTGGTTGACAGTTGGTCTTCTCAAACTTCCAGCAGTATTCATTATATAATTACAAATTTATGTACAAAAGTAAATGGTATGTAATCAAAAATAAAAACAAAGAGGATAGTATGTTCATTAGATTCATTACTGTAAACTATGTAGAGAAAGATATTTCTAAAATATATACAGTATAGTCTTGGAAATTACGACGAAAATATGGTATTAAATTGAATCTATTTAGTTACTCTGTTGATGCACTTTAAACAATAAACCTAATTTTGGCAGGTATCTCATTTAGACTAATACTGTCTTTGCCAAAGATTAAGTTTCAGTAGAAGAAATATGACATGGGAGGACTTTGTTGTGGATGGCATGTTACATAGAGAGGCAGAAGTAGCTTCACAATAGAAACCAACTTGCACTTTGTAAAAACCCTTTGTACTCAAACAATTACCATCTCCAAAGATTTACAATTTCTTCCTGTCAGTCTTTAGCATCTTTCAGATCAGAGTTCTGTGATAAACACATAAACACAAAGATCTCCTTATTTCTTCCTTTGGCATTCATGTCCTACAAGTTGATTTGGTGAGCTCATGGGGCTACATGTGTAACTCAGCTCCAATTACTAGAGCAACGCACACATGTATGTTGAACATTTCTCTTATACCCAGTAATATCTGAATTTGATCTTTTTTGTGAGTTACAAGCTAACTGTCATAATACAGTCAGGTCTTCAAACACAAACAAAATTGCAGTGCAGTCATGCTTAGCACATGTGTGTCTGTCCCAGATTATACTAAACATATTTCTCAGATTAAATCCAAACTGGGGGATCATCACAGTGTCCTGTAGCTGCCCCATTTCATCTTATGCTCATCTTGGCTCTGTGACTATACCTTCTCAGGTGGATCATAGACAAAACAGCAGTGGGTCACCTTTGACCTTATTTCACTTGGGGTCTCTAAACTGGTCATGAAGAACACCTGTAGAACACATTTGAGCCTGACAGTCTGATCTGAAAGGAGCTTTTGACCAAATCAGCAGTCTTCGCTCATTGCAGTGCTTAACCTTAATTTCCAACATATGGCTATTTCTTTTACAACAGCCAAAAGATTGGTCATTTGGGAAACGGTTTGTCTTTAGATTATCTTCAACATAGCTGCCATTCTGTTATTTATTTTTATTTATTTTTACATCTATTTTAAGTTGTCTTTCTCAAGAGTATATGACACAGCTCAACTGACACAGAGAAAAAGTCACATTTGAACACTTTCTCCACTGGTCTTGCAGTCATGGTGGTGCAAAACACTCCATAGCTAAGAAAGCAGAGTCCTGGACACTTTTTTTCTCTTGAATTTGCATTTAGTGTTTTCAAATCCTCAGTAATAAGGACTTGAAATGCACAAAAGCTGATATGTAATTATTTCTCATGTTCTTGTAATCATTTGTAATTCAGCAAACTGAGATGTAGCAAAAAGAATGTCAACCAGTGGATATAAAAAGAGCCATCCATATATTGTGATCATTTCTGTGCGGGGAATACAAGAGGAAAAAGAGACACATTCTTTTTTTTCTCTTTAGAAGGAATTCAAACCCTAAATGTGCAGCAGTCAATAGCACATTTTGCAGAAATGATAAAATATAAATGTGGCCTTATTCATTGTTGTTGTTTTTCAATAGGCATTAAAAAAATCATGAGTCATAGTACAATTTTTCAAAGGATGTCTCAAATCATATAATAATTGTTGTAATCTACTTGTAGTGTTGATGTATGTATTCATATATGCGCCATATATGTCCCACATTCTAACAACAATGGCACTGTATGGTAAAATTTCAATTTATGGATATTATGTATTGCCTAAACATGGTACACACTGATTTCCCATTCTGAATAGAAATAATAGACACTGACCTTCTGCTAACTCCTGCTTCTGAAATGTCCATCAGTGTAACAGACTTGTCAGCTTTGGGAATTTATCAGATGTAAAAGCAGTGTTCCTTTGGAAACCCAATAATAAAACACAGGAAAAGGAATTACAGGAGTTTGGGAGATAATGTTATATTCCTTAAAACTCAAAACATCAGGAAGTAGGGAAGGATAAGGCTAATTAGATTGAATTACCTCTCTGTTTTATTACATTAAAGGTTTTTACCTTGACCCTCTACTTCCTGTCTGTCAAGACGACATCCAATGTTTTGTTTTTTTTATTATTATTTTTGTTTGTTTTTTTCCAGGGTTGAACATACATTTCTGCAGTCACATTCTGTTAAATTGTTTGGGCAGTTAGACAAATTGAAAAGTGCTTCCAGTTTTAACTTTGAGTACCAAAACACAAAGCTAAGCCAGATTAATAAAAAAAAGAGATGTGCCCCAAATATCAATACTTATTAATATATCCCTGCAAGCAAACAGTACGAAAGTTAAATCCAAGTCTATTGTACCACATGTGATATTTTGATCAGAATCAAACTGTTACTCGTAGCCAGAGCTATGTTTCTCTAAGTTGTTCCAGCTGAATAAGCTCACTCTAACACTAAAAATTCCTAGGTGAAGAAAATTGGAAAACCTAGCAAGATTACAAGCAAAAAATATTCCTTTTATACCCTCAAAAAAGTTAAAGTTAAGTGAGTTAATTGAATTTGTTTACCCATTATAACCTGCTTTTTTATATCCAGATGCACAAACTGATGTGAAGGGATCACAGGAAGAATTTTTTATACATATCATTATTATTTGCAACTACTGTGTAGTTATTGTATATTGAAAATACTATGTTAGATTAGTTGTTAGAATGAAAAATGTTAGCATGACATTTTACTTTCTCTTACTTATTTTACTACCAATATCAGTACATTAGAGCATGCACTGTTAAGTTACCAACTGGATAATTTTCAGATTCATGTCTATTTTTTTATTACAGCTTCCAAAATGAAGCATTTACTTACATTGTTTGTCCCCTTTGTAACTTTCTGGCATTGCACATCCCTGGGAAGCAGAAACACTGGTGGCTGCTTTTGTGTGGCTTGTCTTGCATAAAATACCAAAATTATTGTTGTGATTTGTCAGACAAAATGTCAGAATGGGTCAAATCTAAATTATTTTGACGGAAAAATGAGTGATGACACTGTTGCTACTGAATGCATTTCCAAATGTCAAACAGACACTGTCAAACAGACTGTATGTGTAGCTGTATATTGATGTTTGGTTAAAAACTGATAGTAATAAAATCCTTTCTCCTGTCTTCATCTGTGTTTGCTCCAAATAAAATTTACTTACACGGTGCATACATGAAAAATCTAGGTAGCATTTGGGAAGATGTAGCACTGAAAGAGAGAAATGCATTTTGTGATATTTTTTATGTTGTGTTTACAATGTTCCTCAGCAGGAATCAATGCAAGTTAAAAGGCATCAGTATGTTTAATTTCACCTGTCTTGGACAACAGTAGGAATGATCATTTTAATAAAGTGGCAGTTGGAAAATTTGAAAAAGAACTCTGTAATATATGTGAATTTCTTCCTCTTGTTTTCTTGGGTTTACAGACTTGGCTTGTCAAGGCAGCAGATAAATAATCCTCATCTGTAAACACAGCACAGTGTGTCATTTCACAGAGCAATTTTATCACTCTGCAAATATGCAAATAGCAGTAATATATTTTAAAAGGTGCTAAAAAATTACACTGAGAATGAAAAATGCCATATGAAATTGCAGCAAGTATCTGGAGTTTCCATGTAAATATTCTTGATTTAGTCTGATTTGATGCAATACAGTGTAACAAATGAATGTCAGTTGTCACCCAATGCCATTACATTCGAGCTTTGCAATTGGTTGTGTCTATTTTCTGTTCAGTAGTAGCCCGTGATTCGCCCATGTGCAAAGCTGCACACATATGATGGCAGATGTTTGTGTATTTTTCTTCTGTCACAGAGAGGATGCATTTGGAAATACTATCCAGGCATGTTCCCTACCTTATTGATGAGGGATGCATGCAACATCAAAAATTAAAACCAGACAACATCATAGTCTTCTTTTCTAAAGAACTCTAAAGTCAAGAGACTGAACGACAAAAATAACTCTCTCCCTAAGGAGATGCAATGTTGGCTTGACACTGAACAAAATGACAGTACTCGGCAGAACAGAATCACTTATTGGAATTCCACTAAGGAATTACAACAGTGGATAAGGATTATCATGCACGAAAGACATCATCACTATGCTCATGCACCACTGAAGAGAGATGTGTGAGGATGGTGGTCGTGATGAGGATTCTCCTGCAACCATTTACCTCATTTGGTTGTCATGGCTACACAGCCAGAGGCTCGTGCTCTTGGACGCCGAGGCAGGAAGAGAAAGAGTGAGGGATTCAGGGAGGCACACAACCCTGTAGAGTGTTGTGTGCCTCTAAATGAAGTACATACATTTCACAATATTGTTCACACACACACAAACACACACACACACATATATATATATATATATATATATATATATATATATATATATATATGTATATTTTTTTTTCCATTTCATTCCTTAACAGTATGATGAGTAGACATTCCCATCATGCATGCCTGCATACAATTGTTTGAACAAAAATTGTTCCCACGGATGAACCAGAGTTGTGCAGCTTCACAATATCTTGGCTGATTTCATTTGACTTCCCAATTATGTCAAACAAGTAAGCAATATGTTCCAGGTGTGGCCTTAAAAAATATTCTTGGGTGTGCCTCCAAGTAACTCAAATGCATCTGTTAACCTATAAAAGTTTTCCAAAGTCATGACTTCATCATCTGGGCTTTCCCTCATTGCCAAAAGAGACAGTAATCATTCTGTATGTAAATTACTGAATTGTGCCATTTAGCAGTTATTCTAACTGACCTGAAACAACAGAAGTTTGGTCTGATTTAACATCAAAATGTCTTTATATTCAAGTATGTAAATATCTGGTTTCACATGTTAATCAAATTTGCAAGTCACCTAACATGTAAATTAGTAAAACAATGAAATGGTTAATCCCGTGAATATTGTCACTACCGTAGCATTTGTGCTTTTATTTACTTTTGGTAAGGCAGGAAGCAAGCAGGACAGAAAGGAAAGTAAACCAACATCTAGACAGGAAGCTTTGAATGATAAATGATCTGGCACCTTACTGTGGAATTAGAGTTTGAGAAGAAGTGAGCAGCACATCAAAGATTTAAAATATCAAAAGGGGCCACAGCTAATGTCCCCCTGTGTGTGAGTAACCAAAATCAGAACATTTAATTGTGTTTAGAGAAGTGGGGAATTATGGAAAGAATTGCACAAAATGTAGATTTTGAAAGAAAGAATTAAGGAGTAGATATACACAAGTCATATACTGATCTCTTTAGGGTGTTAGTGTTTTTTTGTAGTTTTCATTATTTTAAGTTTGAGATTGATCTTTTTTTGAAAAACACCCCAAACAAATCCCAATCTTAATCAAACAAAAGGAAAGAAGACACTTCCTTTTTCTCCAAAAATACATTTCTTAAATTAACAATAGTCATACATCAAGTGCTGTCCTTGTTAACAGCTTTATAGTTTTTGTGAAAGGAGGAGAGATTCAAATAAAGTCCTTGAGATCATTCTGTAACCTCTGGATGTGTCCTTGCCCCAACACACCTGAATCA